GGCTGGAGTGCAATGGCGCGATCTCGGCTCACCGCAACCTCCGCCTCCCGGGTTCAGGCAATTCTCCTGCCTCAACCTCCTGAGTAGCTGGGATTACAGGCACGTGCCACCATGCCCAGCTAATGTTTTGCATTTTTAGTAGAGACGGGGTTTCACCATGTTGACCAGGATGGCCTCGATCTCTTGACCTCGTGATCCACCCGCCTCGGCCTCCCAAAGTGCTGGGATTACAGGCTTGAGCCACTGCGCCCGGCCAAAGTTGATGGCTTTTTTTTCATTTTCCTAATGGTGTCTTTCAATGAACTAAAGTAAAAGCTTTTAATTTTGATGAAGTCCAGTTTACAAATTTTTTTTCTTTTATGGTTTTTACTTTTTGTGTTCTATCACAAATATTTTTCTCCTATGTTTTATTCCAGAAATTTTATAGTTTTGGGTTCTACACTTAGGTCTATGAACCATTTTAGCTAAGTTTTGTGTATGGTATGAACTGAGGGTCAGTATTTCTTTTTCATACAGACATCCAGTTGTTCTGCCACCATTTGTTGAAATGACTACCATTTCCTGCTGATTTTTTTGTACACTTATTGAAAACCAATTGACCATATATGTTTGTCTATAGTACCCTAAGTACTGTATGATAATTGTGTGCCTTTTAGTGCATGATATCTGGCAGGGTTATTTCACTCTCTTTACTCTTCTTTGCAAGAATGTTCCTATTTCTTGTGTTTGTTTTAGCATTATTTTTGTATCGAGATGTAATTCATATAACACAAAATGTATCCTTTTAAAGTCTATACTTCAATAGTTTTTAGTATATTCACTCTGTTGCACACCACCACCACTGTCCAATTCTAGAACATTTTCATCGTCTCAAAGAAACCCTCATAGCTATTAGCATTTAGTTTCAATTCCTCACTCTCCCCATCCCCTGGCCACTGCTGACCTGTGTTCTGTCTCTATGAGTTTGCTTATTCTGGACACTTCATATAAATTGAATCATATAATATGTAACCTTTTGTGCCTGGCTTCTTCCACTTAGCATAATGTTTTCAAGGGCCATTCAAGTTGCAGCATGTAACAGTGCTTCATTGTTTTTGATGGCCGAGTCATATTTCATTATTTGGATATAGCACATTTGTTTATCCATTCCTCAGTTGTGGCCATTTTAATTATTTCCAGTTTAGGGCTATTATGAATAATGCTGCTATGAACACTCCTTTACTAGTTTTTGTGTGAGCCTATGTTTCCGATTCTCTTGGGTGTATATACCTAGGGTAGAATTGCTGGGTCCCACAATACTATGTTTAACTTTTTGAGGAACTCCCAAACTGTTTTTCACAAGGGCTTCAGCATTTATGTAACCCACAAGCAGTGTATGAGAATTCCAGTTTCTCCACATCCTTATCAACACTTGTACTGTCTGTCTTTCTTATTTTAGCTATCCTAGTGGGTGAGAAGTGGCGTCTCAGTGCGGTTTTGATGTGTATTTCCCTAATGACTAATGATGTTGTACATCTTTTCATGTGCTAATTGGCCATTTGTATGTCTTCTTTGGAGAAAAGTCTATTTAAATCTTTGGTCAATTTTTAATTGGGTTATGTTTTTTATTGTTGAGTCATAAGGGTTATTTATATATTCTGAATCCTAGACCTTTATCAGTCTATTCACAAATATTTTCTTTCCTTCTGTGGTTTGGGTTTTTTCACTTTCTTCGTTCTTTCTTTCTTTCGTCTTTCTTTGTCATCATACTTTATAATTTCTTGTGACCAAAATATTTTCTAGAGGACAGGCGTTGTAAGTATTAACGTCGGAATCAGTGAAAACAATCAGTATAGATTAAGTTTTTAAGTCATACTTTCTCAGAAATGTACGTGCACAGGTAATTGAAGATTATCTGTAAGCAATCAGTTTTGGAAAAGCATAATTTTTGAAGAACTCTCTTACCCTGTGAGGGTGATCTAACATAAATGAATAAAATATATTCCTGTAGTTGAACTGAAAATAGGTACATATCTGTTGCTGAGTTCTAATAATTTTATTCTCTTTAAAAATTTGCATACAGTAAAATTACCAGTATTCTTTTGAACCTCCTATTTCTCAAAATTCGCATAGCTATCCCAATAACACTCTTAAAGCCTTAAGCATGTAATTTTATAAAGCCTCTTATTTCCATATGTCTCATAAAGTCTCCTGATAAAATGTCCCCTTTTACAATAGCCATCTTTGGAATATTTTATGATGCAGAGTTTTATTTATGTATGTTGGTTGTTCCAAGCCACTTCACATTATGGTGGTTCTATGATCAATGTGGCAAGACTGAATATAAGACAATGCAAGTATGGACCACTAGTTATGTTGAAACTCAGACCCTTTGAGGCTACAAAAGAGAACCAGCAAGTATGCATCCTTCAAGCTGAGTGAAAGCTAAATCATTGGATAGAAACAAACAACAACAGAATCATTATGGCTTCGTTGATCACTGTGGTGTTTAACTGACTATTTTAAGACATTTCTACACTTAGCTCTCTCCCCACTCAAGGTGCAGCAAATCACTTTCTTGTTAATAATGCATGTCTGGTCTTATCTTGGCTGTGTCTGTATCGCAGTCAGTGGTTGAAGTCCTCAAGACCACTGCCAGCATCCTGGCCCATAGGGGCCCTCTGCTGTCTTTGCTGTCCGCTAAAGAACTCAGACTACCAATGGAACTACCCATATTCATGAGTTACTTGTCACTGTTGCCTTTCAAGTCTTTTCTGGAGACTAATGGAATTTTTTTTTGTTTTGTTTTGTTTTGTTCTGGAACCCAGAAGACATTTATCTAATAAAATATTAGATCATAATTTCCTAAGAATTATTTTAACAGATTTAAACATTATTTTTTAAAATGGGTGAGTCAAAGTCATTTACACTACAGAAAAGTTAAGCATGTTTCCATCACCACTTTGAAGATAATAAAACCTCTTTCATTTCCATGTCCATGGGGAACTATGCACCCCAAGGTCCTCCACACATGGGACGGAAGAATCTTCTCAAGAACTCCCTGAAGTCAGGATTCATCAAGACATGGGTATTTGGGATGATCACAGCACATAAGCATTTCCACGAAGTGGACATTTTATTCCAGGTTTCAATGTCCTTCATTTAGTGCAGAAAAGTCAAAGACCTGAAGGTTTTCCTTGATCGTTTCAGGACTGAAGCTTTTAGGAATGGCAACTACTCCTTGATGGATGTTGAAATGCAAAACAACTTCAGCTATCATCTTATTGCACCTTTTTAGAAGTGCATCCTTTAACAAAGGTAGAGAAGACATATTCACCCAGGTTGGATTCCTAGTGGTCCCCAAAGGGCTATAGGCAATCATGACAATGTCATGTTGTTGGCAAAATTTCAAGAGTTTTGGCTGGGTGAAATATGGGTGGCATTCACCCTGGTTGCTGACTGGCCTGGGTTTGAGTCCTGGGTTGCTCAGGATGAGCTCCAGCTGGCCTGCTGTTAAAACTGGATACTCGGAGGGATTTCACCAAGCCAGCATCTTTGCACGCTTCCAAAGTCTCCCAAGTGGCACACAGATTTGACTTGTGATGTAACCATTTGCCATTCTCACCTATAGGATAGATTTCATCTCCTGGCTTAAGAGAGTATTGAGTATTTCAATGATCCACGCAATCTAGCTGGAGGACCTTCAGCTTCCTCCCTAGGCTTGGGAGACCAGCTCTCGGTCATATTTGTAGCCCATAAATTCCATGGTAGAAGATATCCTTCCTCTGCATTTTTCCTTCTGTTATTTCCCCCAATGGCCTCTGCGACTTTGTCTTCATTTTGGTAGATGCAGGCTTCATCAGTGTGTCAGCACTCCATGTCGATGACAACCTTCACTGATGGATTCAGACTAAATGTAGAGACAGACTACTTGGGCTTTAGTGACAGCTCTGCCTACCACCTACTTGCTCTTTGACCTTGAGTAAGTCAAAGGCCCCTGAGGGGTCAACTTACACTCTGAGTAGGTACCAAGTCCGATGACTGGAATGCTGTTTCCATCACTTAGAGGTATTCGGTGATTTGCAGAACTCATTTTCTTCATAGTGTCCTTTGATGCACAAAAACTTTTAATTTTGATGAAGTACAATTTATTGATTTTATATTGGGTTGCTGTGACTTTGGAGTCTTGGCTATTCTTGTACATTAATTTTTTTCATATCAATTTTGGAATCAGCTTATCTTGTTCTAAAACCTTTTGTTGGCATTTTCAATTAAATCAATTGATTAACTAAGGGATAATTTAATTCCTTAAAAGGGAGCTTTCTAACAAAGAAAGGTATGCCTTTCCATTTACTGAAGACCTTTCAGTGTTCTTCAGCAATGTTTTTAAGTTTGTCTCATATAGACACATTACAATTTTTAGATGAAGTTTATATCTAGGTTTTAATGTTTTATTATTGTAAATTACTCTGATGTTTAAATGTTGACAACTAACAAAAATGTCAAAAATACTATGTGAGCTACAGTATTTCAAACTATTCTATGATCCAAATTCAGGCCAAGTTCAGATCTGCAACCCCAGGTCTACTCCAGCTGTTCGCTCTATAGATAAGAAGGCTGAAGTCTAGAGATGTTGAGCGGCTGATTGAAGCCCACACAGCAAGTAGGTGGTAGGTAGAGATATCACTAAAGCCCAAGGCATCTGTCTCTACATTTCGCCTGACTCTCAATCCAGGGCTTTGGCATTTTACCAACCTCCATAAAATATTTGAGGGTCTAGGAAAAGGGCAAACATTCTTAAATCCATTGAGAACTTATATTTGCCTAGAGACAGACTTTATCAATCAAGATAGAAATTGGATAAGAATTATTAAAAAAAAAAAAAAGAAGAACATTAAAACAATGGTCAAATGAGAGAAAAAGCAAAATTCAGACAGACAGATACATACACATACATAGACACGCCCCAAACCCTCAGACCTCCAGGGCTTCCTGCCTGTGAACCGAAAGAGGGAGTGCGAGTTTCTTGGCCTCAAAGGCCCCACAGTCCTCCACTTCCTGGGGAGGCAGCAGGCCAATAAAGCCAGCAGAGACTCTTCTCCTCTTCATCGTCCCGGCCACCACTGCTTCAGCCTCTGCCTCCCAGCCTCTTTCTGAGGGAAAGGACAAAATGAAGTGGAAGGCGCTTGTCACCGCGGCCATCCTGCAGGCACAGCTCCCGATTACAGGTAAGGCCGATGTGTCCACGGCAGGGAACTTCTAGAAACTCTTTGTGCGTGTGTGGGTGTGGGGTGGGAGTGGAGCATGGGAAGGGGCTGGGGTCGTCTTCCAATCCCGCCCTCCTCAAATCCATGGGCAAGTGAGCAGTGAGGGGTCTGGCCAGGTTCTGGCATCTGCTCGGTCACTGCGGAGTTGGGCATGAGTTCAGAGCCAGCTTCTAGAAGATGCGGCTCCGCCAGGTACAGATTTTCCCCGTGATAAGAGAGGAAGAAAGAAGGAAGCAAGAGAGCAATCAAGGCAGGCCCAGGGTGGAGAAACGGAGAGGAGTATTTCACCGAAGCTGGATAGGATGGGAAAATGTCAGCCAGGCCATGTCTCGCGCTGCGACGTTCTAACCTCTATGGCTTCTTTCATCCTCTGGCTGGCTCCGTCACTCAGCCCCTTTCTTTCTTCCTTTGCCAATAAAGAAGGTTTCACTGGTCAGTCAGGGTCATGGCCTGGAACACCCCAGTGGGCCAGAGACTGAGTGGGGGTGATCAAGGAGGAAAGGGGCACGGGCAGGAAGCACCTGGCGGCAGCCTCCGCGGTGCCTCTGCCGCCTCACGGCCAAGGGTCCGTGTCTAGACTCAGCCCTGTCATGGCTGTCCCCTGCCCCACCGCCTGGGGCTGCCGGGTGATGCGGGTGACGCAGCATCCCGGGCTCCGTGACTCACCCCAACCCGCCCCTCAGGTGGCCTTCTAGCCCAGCCAGAGGGCCAGGCGTTGGCAGAACACGGGCAGATGAGAGGATGTACCCGGTTAAGTCACCACCACGAGCAGCGCCCAGCCAACAAGCGGGCTCCCTCCTTACCTCATTCCCGTTGGTGGGAGCCTCGCTTTGCTGCAAGCCTTTAGCTTCCACCATCATGTCTAGCCCAGGTAATGAGGAAGAAAAGCGGTGAAAAGAGGACTAGACAAACTGCTCAGGGGCATTGGCCTTGTGGCATCTTCCTGGGAAGCGGGGCCAGCTGAATTTCGATTTAAAGAAACAGGGAAGGTGGAACAAGCAAATGTCCTCGGCCCACCTGACGCTCCTGGCAGCCCACCTCAGCATGGGAGTTTGTTCAGGGGCCCTGTTGAGAGGTCGTGAGAAGCCATGGGCACTTCTGCTCCCACCAGGGAGTGGGGCACAGCCGTGGCCAGCGCCCCGGGCGTTCTGAGGCCTGTGCAGCCTCAGGGGTTTCTACCAGGTCACAGCTGTTTTCTCAGAAGAGCCTTGTGGGGTCTGAGTCACACACACCGTGTGGTGGGGCGAGGGTGCCCAAGCTCGCTCAGAGCAGCCCATGCTGATGTGCTGGGGACAAGGGGACCCAGAACAGCTGGAGTTTAGTGACTTCAGGGGAGACGGTCGGGGCAAAAGCTCTAGCTCTGGGCTTCAGGCTTGGGACACCGCACCAGGGAGATCATGTACTGTTTCAGGGCCTTTACCCGCAGTTTCCTCACTAGTCCGTTTGTGTTCGGCTTGGAGAGACCAAGGTAGGGGCAAAATGAAGTTACAGAGAAAAATGAAAGGCTGCTGGGTGACGGTGGCTGCCAAGAGTGGTAAACAGAACCCCACCCAGCAGACAAGATGGGGGCCCATGCCCCATTTCCACAAACAGGGGACAGGAGGAGACACTGTACATTGGCTGGATTTTTCGCTTCTCAGTGCCACTTACTTTGCCTCTGTGGAGACTGACATTTTAGCTCTTTTAGATAAGGCTAACAGACAAAAGTTTCTCCAAGTGTCCTAGCCAAGAAACGAGGTACAGTAAGGCAAGGCGTGACTCAGAGAGGCGGCGGCACCGAGGGCTGCGATGGCGCTCGCGCTGCCCGAGGGGACACCTCCGCAGTCTCCCCGGAGGAAAGGCTGCTCACAGAATTTCAGTCCGGTCTTCTCTCTCTTCTTGCTCAGTTAAGCGGCACATCACTTACACCTCTTTAAAATGTCTACTTTTTACTAAGCTGTTATATTTGCATTTCTTTGGAAATGCCCAGATTATCAGGATCAAAGCAAATGATGACCTGGTCTGTCCAAATGAGGAGGCCTCCCTGAGAGAGAATCTACCAAGACGGTCACCAGGGCTTGAGGCCGGAAGAACCTAAGATGGTGTGCCTAGTGGCATGGGCACACTTTTTCCTCCAGCGCCCTCAGTGCCTCTAGCTCCCTCCTCTGCAGTAGCCAAGCTTGCACCCGGCGGTCAGCGTGACCTTTGTCTTTTATCAGTGAGGAGATGCAGCTCTGACAGGCAGCCTTGGGAAATGCAAAGCTTCCAGGCTTGTGAGCGGCTCTGCTTTTAGGAAGGTGACTGGATGAGGTGGAGTGAGCCCGGCTAATCTCAGGTGGTGTCACAGCACTGCCGCCTCCTAGCTGTGCAACCTTAGAAAAGTTACTTAACCTCTCTGAGCCTCAGTTTTCTCACCTCTAAAGAAAGAATTATATAATATCTTCTTTGCAGAAATGTGAAGATGAGAAGTAATGCAATGTGCCCGATACGTAGTAGACAGCCAACAAGAAAAAATTGAATTGACTATTACTATTATTACGTCTTGGACAGTCTTCTTGTTTTCAAAACCCAAAAGCAGGAGATGGAAACCCATGGCTGGGATTCTTAATTTGCCGTCACTGCATTGTAAAGCAGCATTGGGCATTCTCTCCATCTGCTGAAATCCACCTCAGCACTCTTCTGACTTCTGGGCACACCCATACCAACACAGAAACAGCAATGATCCCAGGGGTAGGCCCGATGGGGAACAAAGAGCAGAGCTCTGGCTGGCCATAAGATGACTATTACGTCCACCGTTTTCATTTTTTAAAGATACTTACTCTGCAGGGGAATATTCTCCTGAAGTAAAAACACGTCTGAAAAAATATATATACAAGATGGGGGCTGTGCCCCATTTTCAGAAATCGGGGGAAGGGGAGAAAACTACACATTGGCTGGGTTTTTCGCTTCTCAGTGCCATTTACTTTTCTCCTCTGTGGAGACTGACATTTTAGCTATTTTAGATAAGGCTAATAGAAAAAAGTTTTTCAAAGTCTCACTTTGAAAGGAATCAGAAACTAAGAAAGGAATTAGAAACAAAATCCATCCAGTCATCATTGGTTGGGGTGGCCACCTAGGTTCTGAGCCAAAGGGCTAGTGTGGGTGAGGGCAACTGAGTATCTAAATGCAAACTTCTTGAACACTAAGTCTTTGCTGAAATTGCTTGGAGGCAAACGTGAAGCAAGCTTTTAAGTGATACGAGCACACACTTTTCATCAGTGGCATCTTCACCACCAGATTGTTTCGCCTTCCAGTCACCTAGCTCTGCTCACCCAAATGAGCTACTTAACTTTTCTATTTTAGCATTTCTCAGGCTTACTAGCCTAGATATCACATCTGCTGCTGCTGCTAAGCATCCCCCCAGAAACGGCCCTGGGGACTCTGGCTTAGGTGAATGACACTGCTGTATTCATTTTTAAATTCTTTGGATTTTTTTGCTTTTGTTCTTTAAAAAAACTGATTTAATTGTTATTGGATTTACACTTTTCCAGTCAAAAGTCGCCCAGCATTGTGTCTTGTGCGTTATTTAGAAGGGTCCAGATGCCCTGAGGGAAGTCTCTTAGATTAGAGTTGTCCAAACACATGCTTTGGGAATCCCTTTCTCCCAAGCCTTATTTATCTAAGGCTTAGGACCTACATAGGTCAGCTAATTGACTTAATAAATACTGGAAATAGTTCAGAATAAATTTCTTAGCTCTGCTTGGGCCAAAGCTAATTTTAATTAACACTAAAGTGATGGTGTTTGTTAGTCAATTTGAACAAACATTCAATTTGGTTTAAAAAAAATTAAACTGGTCATTTACCTGTTAATTGAAACCAAATGATTGCTTTAGTGAATGCATGTACATAATCTGTCTTCCGGTCTAAAAAAACAACTTTAAGTTCCCTGAAAACAAAGACGCCCCTGTCACGCTCACAGCTCTACCCAGCGGTTAGCATGGTACCTGGAGCAGAGTCAATATGCAATAAGTATCAATAAGAATTGTTGAATGCACTTTGGGGGGCCAAGGCTGGTGGATCACCTGAGATCAGGAATTCGAGACCAGCCTGGCTGACATAGTGAAACCCCATCTCCACTAAAAAAATGCAAAAAATTAACTGGGTGTGGTGGCAAGCACCTGTAGTCTCAGCTACTCAGGAGGCTGAGGCAGGACAATCATTTGAAGCCAGGAGGCAGAGGTTGCAGTGAGCCGAAATCGCACCACTGCACTCCAGCCTGGGTGACAGAGCAAGACTCCATCTCAAAAAATAAATAAAATAAGAATTGTTGAATGAATTAAAAGGTGAGTGAATGAAGGAAATCTAGATGTTTTCATATGATTACATTAACTTGAATGGTTTATTTGGAGGGTATGTTGAATTGGCATTATTTAGACCTTTAGAGAACACAGTATCAAACAATTTAAAAAACAAAACAAAAAACAGAAATTAAACCGGTGGAGGGGACAGGGCAGTTTGAGTGATTAGAATTACTTGAAATGAGTTGCAAGGATGGTTTAAGATAAAAATCCTGCTGTTATAAAAATTTTCTGGTTGGACCATATGAAATTTCCACTATTTGTTTATTTCAGACCTACAAAAAATATAATTTCATATGATGCAAATAACATTATAACTAAAAATAAAGAAATACGCTTTTTTTCTGATTAGGCTTTAATACTAGAGAAAGGCAGAAAATAAACAAAGCTAAAACTGTTGGAGATTGTTAACTAGTGAACGAAGATAAATGAATGGAAGGCATCAAGGAAAAAAATACTAGATTATAGTATAAATCACAGTATCCAATCACCCAGTGTCTTGAAAATATGGAAAGAAAAAAAAAAAAGCAAGATACTTACTATTAGTCTGGTTTGATCCAGGTTACTAAATAATATTTCAGGTAGCCAACATTTTTCTCTTCTCTTAGTTTGAGATATTTTAATAAAGATATCATAAAAATCATT